AACCATCCGCCTGCCTACGTCTGTTCGACAGCCACCGCGGCTTCTGCCTCCATTTAAAAGCGTTTTCCTGTCTTATTGAGGTGCCACTCTGGCTGTGTTCCCTTTGTTACTTAATGAGTGTCTCCTTAAATGAAGGGACTCTGTCTTAAGAGCAGGGAACTCCTTTCTACATGTTTCTCTGTTGCACAAACCATGTCCATTAGACAGCATTCTAAAGGAAGATGCGTGCTCCCAGGATGCTGAACTGTACAGACCTCAATTCAAGTTGCTCACTTGCTCCTGAATTATGACATTCAGTCTCAGAACATTTTCTGAAATCTGGGAAAGCGTAAACTTTTCATTTCCTGCAGCTAATTCCAGTTATATGCCTGCTTCATGGAACTCGCACGTCCTTGCCAGGCAGTAGAGAGGACTGAGTGAGCACTCATTATGTGTGAAACACTTTTGCGTGCAAACATGAACCCTGAAAACGCCTGCTTTATCTTTTTTATAAGAAGATAGTCATCTTTTTTCCTCTTGTTTTCATCTTCATATTAAAGTCAACTTTCTTAGAATATAAGTCCCACGAAAACAGAACTGTGTCTGTTCAGGGTATGTAATGCGCCTTACACAAAGCTGGGCATATCCGATGGCTTCAGAGTGTAACGTTGCTTCATAAGAGGCAAAACCAGTCTAAGCAGAGGAACCTAACAGTCTTCTAAACTTATTTGTTAGGACACCATTAGGTGCTATCTACTCACAGGAAAAAACAAAACAACAAAAGCACGTCGTTAAAGACGTGCGAATTGTTCTTCAGTGGGGGAGGTTTGTGTATATAATTGCGTTCAGTTGTTTTTGTTTGCAGAGCTCCTGTAATTTCCCGGTGCCAGATTCTGAGTCAAAAGAAAAATATCGAAGTGAAGTGCGTAGGCAACAGCTGTTCTCAGCCCTTCAGGGCGGTAATTCTGAGCCTAGGGCTGTGCATATTCTTATCGAGAAATGACTCTGACGGTAAAACCCTGCCTTCTCCACAGTGCGGGTGCGGGTACAGTGACCGTCCTTGCAAAGCCAGGTGTTAATCATCAAGCCCGTTTCACGGATCTTGGAAGACAAAGTAACTTGTTATGACCGCATGCGTGTTCATGAACTCATCCCCAAAGTATTCCTATGGTCTGGCTCCGTATTACTGAACACGTTTCTGAACTTCGTTCCTTTTTTTCTTTTTTTTTGTAAAAGAAAAGCAGTACTCAAGGTAGGCTTTGCATTTCAGTGAGTGGCAGTGATGCTGATCAGAGAGTCAACAACACTATTTATTAAACCGCGTTATGGCTGTATGTTCTACAGTTCTCTGCTCATCTCGCCATTCTTCTAATCTTTCTGTCATTTGGAAGAAGTGGGTTAATAAGAAGTAAAAACAAATAATATAAAAATATAATTTTTTTAAACAGCAATGATGAGGACTCATTTACCTGATTTGAAAACATCTTTAAAATGGACCATTATCAAAGCTGGATAATGTTTTGTTAAAGAAGAAAAGGATCCATTGATATGGAATAACGGAGGATCCAGAAGTGAAAAGCTCATTTGAGCGTGTCTAGGACAGCAGACATCACAGAATGACAGGGAAAAGTAGCCTTTGTCAGGCATTTATTTTGGTACAGAGAGGAACCAGTGCTCTGTGCACAAATGCAGAATGTGTAGCAATGGAAAGAGAAACAGAATGTAGGAAAAATAACACATACCACTGTATTGAGATTACTTAAAATGGATACAGATATATTAGGTGAACATACTAATTCCATTTGATGTGTGTGCAAGGGAGATGCATGCTTGAGGAAATCTTAAATCACTTTATAGGAAATGTGCTGCCTGTTAGTATTAAAGTAAATTAAAATATTATAACATTTTTACGATAAATGTAATATAATCAGATTCCCTTCCTCCCCGCCCCCCATGGAGAAACAGGAAGGTTGTCAATTGCATTGTTTCAGTTGTGGAGAGGACTCTGTCAATAGGTTTGAATCATAATGTTATTGTTATCGATGATGACGATGACAGTGATGATAATGGCATGTGCCTGCACTGTGCTAAGTGGTAGATGCTTAGAGGAAAGCTTGCTACCTTGCCACATGTATGTATATGTGATCAGACACGCCACTGAGCATGTCACACAAAGCCCCACTGTCCAGCCCACCTTTTTAGAATAATTGTTTGTCGTTTCCTCCAAAAGCCAGGAAACCACAGGCTATAGTGTTGTTGGGGAGAGATCAACCAAAGGACTTGTATGCATGTATATAAGCACAACCAAGGACACAGACACCAGGGGGGTGAGGGCATGAGTGGCAGGGGGTGGTGGTGGGGGGGTAAGGGGATAAGGACATATATGTAATACCTTAATCAATAAAGAAAATTAAAAAGGGGGTTTCCCCCCATATTTTCTTTTTCAGTCAATTTTTTCTAAATGTTTTCCCCCACACCTGAATGTCTTCTCCTGACTGGTGGATTCTTAATCATCTTTTGAAAATTTGTTCAAATCACATCATTCAGGGAGGCTTGGTCCCGTGACTCTTAGACACACCGGGAGGCCGGCAGCTCCCTGGCGTCTCCGGAGCCTGATGCGTCGTTGAACACAGAGGCTGTGTCCTGACCGTTTTTACACACAGATTGGGACTGAATACGTGTGTGCGTGGAACAAGTGATTGGAAAAACTAAGGGAAATCCCAATATTAATATTATTTTCTAGCTTTCATTAAATTCTGTTAAGCTGAATCTGGTCACATTGACTCGGTATATACGTACTTAGCAATGATCAAAGTGTCTAACTCCCAACAATTCTACACAATGGGATAAGCAATCACCACTAGGCTGTTTCATTTTGCAACAGGGTTTTGTTGGGGTTTGTACTTGTCTCATTGCTTATTTGCTGCAAAATGAGGCTTTTACTGGGTCACTGTCAGATTTTTCTTAGTATTTTTATAAAGATGCGCAAGGAGGTACATTTGCCAACACTTTTAGGTCAGGGTGCTATTTTTTAAAAATATATTTTTATTGATTTCAGAGAGGAAGGGAGAGGGAGAGAGAGAGGAACATCTATGATGAGAGAGACTCATTGATCGGCTGCCTCCTGCACGCTCCCCCACTGAGGATCAAGCCCACAACCCAGGAATGTGCCCTGACCAGGAATTGAACTGTGACTATTAATTGATGCTAAACTAAGGCATGCTGACTGGGCAAGGCCAGGGTGCTATTAGTGAACTCTTCTCTGCTATTTAGTATTCCTAAGAGAAAATATGCCTAAGGACCTATATTATTCTCAGGAGGTAAGGTTTTTTGTTTGTTTGTTTGTTGTGTGTGTGTGTGTGTGTATGTGTGTAAGCTTTTGGGATCCAGAGCTGAAAAATTTCCTCTTGTACAAATTATTCATCAGTATAAAAATCTTCATGCAAAAGTTAGTGCCTTAAGACACAGAATCCATTTAGATTAAAGACTATATATGACTGTATTAGAGAGAGGTTCTTCTGCAAATGATAGAGCCCACACTGGACAAGACAGAAATTTCTCACGTAGCTGTCTGGGTGTGGGGAAACCCAGGTTAGGTACGGTGACCCTGTTCTGCATGGCTGTTTGGGGTTGGATGTGCTATCACCACGGTGTTTGGGATTCAGGGGCCTTCCCATTGCTTTGTGTTTAAAATTTCATGATTGTTAATTTTCTTTTCATTTTATTTCTTGATTATTATGGTGTGACTATCTCATCAGCAGTTGTGCTTGACAAGAAGTCATGGTTTACAGTATTTTATAGGTTTGGCATGACAGAAGTCTTGACAGTAAATATTTGCTTAATTAATGGAAAGTTCAGATATTTCGGGAAGGGTCATTAATCTACAACTATTTGCAAGATGCTTGTGATGTGAGATGCGGCGCTCATGGCACAGGGCCAAATTGGGAGCACACCTGCCTGTGGAGGGAGGAACAAATAAAGTTTTTCCAAAGCCTTGAGGATGAAGAGTTCATTTTCATTGAAGCTGGGGAAGGAGAGCTTCCTTGAAGGATGAGTAGGGTTTCAATAATCAGAAATGGAGGAGGAGGGGCATGAGGAGCAGGGCGTGTTGGGGGAAGTGGGAGTGGAAGGTGTCTGCTTGCTAACACTTCTCCCGTGATTTGTGACACCCTCTGTGTTTTAGGACAAATCTGGAGGAAGGATATTTTTGGGTAGGGGAGGAGGAGGAGGGGATGAATATCTATTCTTGTCTTTTTTTTCCTCTGATAGGGTGACAAAGGAGAGTTTTATCTTGGATAATACTTTGGCAATACTTCATTGATTTGTTTGTTTACATCACTGAAGATGATTCTGTGACCTATGTGAATCTTTAACATCTAGTACACATGATTTGTGTTTAGATGAGATTATCTTTGTATTTGAATTAAGGCACAATAATGACAATATTTGTGAACGTGTGACTTGTAAAGGGGGACCTAAACGCTCGGTCTTGGCAAAGGGCCTGGTTCTAAGTGCTCCTGAAGCTGAAAGGTTGTGCCCTCCCATTTTACTGTCCCGTTCTGCTGATACACCTTTTAGAGAAAGTTCCAATTCCTGACGAGGAGCAGAGAGCTGACATGATTTTTCACTTAGGTGTGCAGAAAGAATTGGTTAGCTTTGTGCACAAAGTAGGCTGAAATCAAGCTTTAATTAGTCAGACTTTTGCATAATTCATCACGGTCACTTTGTCAGTCCAGCTGAATATACTCTTGATTTTTATCATGATGTGTTCATTTTAAAGGACTCACTGTCTTTCAGTTAGTTTCTTGATGCACAAATACTCAGATCGTCCAAGTACAGCCATAACAATGCACCCAGTCTCATTTTAAAGAAAAATGCATTGTTACATAAGGAACCGTAAAGAAGTGAATCAATCAATCTATAAAAAAGTTTTTATTAAATATCATTCTTGTTATTGATATAATCAGCTTTAAATACAGGAAAATAAACTAAGGGCTTTTTCTGTCTTTTTGGATCCATAGGCTGTCCATCTGGCCCAGGCAAGCTTCCAGATTCAGGCCTTTGGCTCCAGGTTTATTCTTGACCTCACACTGAACAAGTAAGTATTTAGTCCTAATCCTGTTAAGCAAGTGCAATAAAACTTCACTTCATGGTAAGGGTTCAGTCAAAATATTGACACTGATAAGATGTCATATAACACTTCAAGAAAAACATAAAAGTCTAAAGTTAATTATTTTTTCTTTTCCTGGAAGAAGAGGCATTTAACATTTAGCTTGTTAAGTATCTCAAGTACAGTACTTAGAGAGTAGGATTTTAAATGAAATACATATTTGAAGTAATGCTAGTTAATTAAATGTTAACTATAATCATTATTACACATGGGAAGCATGATAAATTACTGACTCAAGTATAAAATTTTCTTCCAATTTACCTTGCATTATACAGTTCTCATATTGTATTACAATTCTGAATAAACAAAGAAAAAGATGACTTGTAAATATATTGAGAAGGTTCTTTGCTTTGTAATTTGCTCTCATATGGGTCTTTTCAAAATTTTGGTCCTGGTAAAAATTTACCTGATTTTTCTCTGAGCATTTTAAGTTTGTGTTGATATTTAAATGCTGTTTTCTAAGTTGGAACTCATTGCACCAATGTCTTTCTACAAAACATGGGCAAGAGCTATTGACAAAAGTAGTGAGCTTTGTTTGGTGAAAGCAATTCTTTGGTGAAAGGGATTTCCTGTATGGGTGTCTTTAGTTTAAGAAGCTCCCATCAGTATTTTAAACTATCATCAGTATTTTGACCAGGACTGCATCTTTGCCAAAAAAAATACCATGTAATGCTATCAGACACTATAATGTAGGTGACCACAATCAATATCAGAGAAATTGCAAAGGATTCTAGAAAAGAGCTATTAAATTTCTTGTATGCCAAATTCTGTGAACACTGCAGAAAAAAAATGCAGAGTCAGCTTGGGTGCGCCTTACTCAAGTGTTATTGCAGCTTTAAGTCAGAATGAATCAGCAGGACTCAGAACTTCCTTTGTTAAAGGTACTGCAGGTTTCCCTTTTTGAGTCTGCTGAGCATTGGTTGAGTTCCTTTCCACCAGCCTGTGTCAGCACTGTGCCTGCCTAAGACATTTGTCTTGCCAAATCTTAGACTATGTTGAGAAGCTAGCTATGGCTAAATTTAGTGTTTTTGTCCTCTATTCCTTTAATTTTTACTGCAATGGAGACTGTCATTGAAGACTGTAGTGTGGCATTAGCAACCAACGTTGCTGATGTGTTGGTTGAGGCTGATGGCCACAGCAGTACCTCCCAATCAAATTACTGGGAAAGGGTCATATAGGGTGTCCAGGGCATGTACAGGTCTGGAAACATATCATTAAGTTACTTATCACTAATATTTGATGTGCAAAGGAACCAAGTTGAGCACCTGCTATGAACAATCCTTGCCTTTAGGAGTTTACAGCTGAGTTGGGTAAGGTCATCAGATTAATATATAATTTTTGATGAGTGAAATTTGCTGTACTAGAGATAAACGTGGAATGCTGTGGTATATGTACTAGAGGAGATAGTGTGTGCTAAGTAGGCAAGGCCAGGGAGCAGTGTGGTGTGTTAAAGGAGAATTAGTCTTTTGTTGAATTTCTTGGTAAATTACAAGATTGAGGCAAGGGAAATGAGTCAGGAGACGTGGGCTTAGAGACAGCTCAAGTCTTGGAAGATCTTTTATGTAATGCTCAAGTGCTTGTCCATTATCTCCTAGACCATGAAAAGTGAAGGGGAATAAACAGAAGTTCAGTTCTCAGAAAGTGTTGAGGGACACAGTGAGGTAATGCAATAAATACATATCTACAAATGAATCTAAAAACCAAACGAACAAGAAATCTAATGAACAAAATAAGCTGATGAATAAAATAGAACCAGAAGCATGAAAACATGGAACAGACTGATGAGTCTCAGAGGGAATGGGGGTTGGGGGATGGTGCAGGAAGAACTTAATCAAAGAACTCATATGTATATATGCATTACCTGTGGACACAAACAATAGGGTAGTGAAGGCCTGGGGTGGAGCAGGAACCAGGTGGAGAGGGACAATGGAGGGAGAAAGGGGGACATCTGTAATACTCTCAACAATAAAGATTGAAAAAAAATAAGTAAATGCAGTGGGAATGAGGCCACAAGAGGTCTAATCACATGGCATCTCCCCTGTGCAGATTTCTGAGCCATCTGAGGACAACATGGGTGTGCGAAATGACCTGGAGACAGGGGAATTGTACTTTATAAACGTGTGACATGTGTTGACCAGGGTGGTTCTCTGGTTTAACTAACTTTCAATGGCTGGGATTAACTAAAAAGTCTGGTCCACATTAGAATAAACTTAAAGAGTCAGAGAAATTTTTTTGAAAAATATTTTTATTGATTTCAGAGAGGAAGGGAGAGGGAGAGAGAGAGAAACATCAATGATGAGAATCATTGATCAGCTGCCAGGAATTGAACCGTGACCTCCTGGTTCATAGGTCGATGCTCAACCACTGAGTCACGCTGGCTGGGCCAGAGAAATTTTTAATCAGTCACAGAGGAACCAAAAGAACTTCTGAGGAAAGAGGAATCTCATACCTGTTATTGGGTGGTCATTGCCACACGATTAACAACAATTTTAGTTTTTTAAATATATATTTTTATTGATGTCAGAGAGGAAGGGAAAGGGAGAGATAGAAACATCAGTGATGAGAGAGAATCATTGATAGGCTGCCTCCTGCATGCCCCACACTGGGGATGGAGTTCGCAACCCGGGCATGTGCCCTAATTGGGAATCGAACCATGATCTCCTGGTTCATAAATCAACACTCATCCACTTCGCCATGCCAGCCAGGCTATTTACAACAATTAAAAATCGTTGGAGGAGGGAAAAAGCAAAAGGTATATGATAAGTATATGGGCTCGGTGAAAGAGTGAAAGCATAGAGATATTAACACATTGTGGGCAGGTCATGAGCATTCTCGTGTTTTCATATTACACAGTGTTTTACATAAATGTGAAAAGCACGCATTAAAATTAAATACCCATTGCATTTTGAAGTTATTTATTACATGTTCTTACAAGCTAATATCTTTTTAAAGTATGATACTTTCTAAAACGTTTTTTGTGCTCATTCAATAGAAACTTATCTGGCCACTGGGTAAAGCTAGCAATAAAACTACTGGAGCGCAATGTGTTAAAATAAACTAATCAAAGTGGCGACCATAGAATCTAAATGGTTAATGTCCTCACCAGGGCTGGACCATCAGCTTGGGAAAATTACCCTGATGTGAGTTCCTGAGAGAAGAGTCTTTTTGAGTTTGTGTTCTCATAGATTGAACAATGGAGGCCTTAGCTTGATGAGGCATCTTAGGGCAGAGGGGTGGGTTTTATTTATTTCTTCCTTGAACATTGAGTGAACATCTGCTCTATGCCAGCGGCTGCTGTAGGTGCTGATGCTGCTGGGAACAAGATAGACAAGGTCCCTACCTCCCCTGATGGAGCGTCATTCCAGGGGAAAAGGCAGATGGTGAACCGCTAAATAAAGACAAGTGCATTGAAGGACATACAACTGGGCTATGTAATGGAGAGGGACTGTGGGTTGGGGTGGCTAATGTTATTTAAATGTCACAGAAGCCAAAAGGTCTGTCTGAGGAGAGACAATGAGCTGAGACCTGATTGTCAAAGATGAGCTACCCCATGAGGCTGGAAGGGTAAGGGTTCCTCACAGCTGGGACAGTAAGACAGCAAGTGTTGAGGAGAATATGGACTGTTCAAGAAGGACAGAGGCGAGTGTGACTGGAGTGCAGTGGGGGGCAGGGAATGGTGGGAGACTGAGGAGACAAGACCAGAGAGGAACCAGGAAGCCAGAACATTGTCCATGGTGAGGCATTTGGGTGGGAAGGCATTGGGCAATAAGCATGGATGCCATGCCATCATTTTATTTGGCCCAAAAGATCTTAATTGTGGCCTTAGAGGACCTTTGGCTGTATCCCTTTTAGGATGCCCTCCTTTTCAATTTTGTTTTTTTTTTTTTCCCTCCGGAATAACCACTGTTTCAAGATACAGAAGGTTTAAAAAGGATTAGGAGATGAGTAATTCTTAATGTTTATCGATCCTTTGAAATCCAGGGCGTGGCGGGGGAGGGATCTGAGGCTTGTCTTCCCTATGTGTATGATTGGAATTGTGCCATAGCCCGTGTTACCTGGAATTAAATTTGCTGGTGTCTTCAGCAAATGTGTATTGGGAATAACTGATCAGAGCCATGTCATGGTTGAAAGCACAGGTTCTGGAGTCAAACAGACCTAGGTTTGAATCTGGGGCTGCCATTTACTACTTTTGTGAACTTGGGCAAGTTTCTCAACTTTTTATAATAACAGCATGAGATATCGCTCACATGCCATAAAATTTCCTCCTTCGAAGTGGCTTTTATTATATTAGGAGTTGTGCAATTATCACCACCATCTAATTCCAGAACCTTTTTCTTGCCCCAAAAAGAAACCTTGTACCTACCTGTAGCAGCCACTCCTCATTCTCCTTCCCCCCAAGCCTTTGGCAACCACTCATTTACTTTCTGTCTCTAAGGTTTTGCCCATCCTGGACATTTTATATAAATAGATTTATATGACTTTTGTTTTGTGACTGACTTCTTTTATTAGCATAATATTTTCAAGGTTCACCTATGTTGTAACAATAATTTCTCATTGTATGAATATACAGGGTGGAGCAAAAGTAGGTATACAGTTCACGTGGAAAATAATATGATAATTAATAAATAATAATATAAGACTAAAACTTCATGTTTCATGTACTCACAACTGTAAACCTATTTTTTGCCCCATCCTGTAATTTTCTTAAGCTTTAGTGTCCTTCCTAAGCTGTAGGTTATTGTAAAGATTAAATGAGATAATGTGTGGTACTTACACATGTCTGCTAATTGGAAAGACATGTTCAATGTTGTGGACTGAATGGGTCCTTTTAAAATTCCTATGTTGAAACCGTAACACCTTAACTCCCAACATTACTATTTGGAGGTAGAGCCTATAAGGAGGTAGTTAAGGTTCAGTGAGATCATAGG